CGCTCAGGCTCAGCACCCCTGGCAGGACGAGAGTCGACAGCTACCTCGACAGGCTCAACCGGGTCTACCTGGGACACACCTGAGGGAGCGGCACCCTGAGGGGGGAGGGGGTCTACCACAGCAGCACCTGGCGCGAGGAAGAGAGGCGGGGGGGGGAGCGGGGCAGTGCGGTAGGGGAAGAGGCGGTAGTAGGGCACGGACTCGTCAAAAGTGACGTCCTGAGAGGGCAGGACACGGCGCGAGGTGGCGTGGTAAAACTGCCAACCAGACGCGTCCGGGACAAAGCCAAGGAAGACACAGGGAACAGCGCGGGAGGAGAGCTTGTCCGCGAACGTATCGCGAACAAAAGCTCGGGATCCCCAGACCCGAAAACGCGACGCATCGCCAACCTCTCCCGTCCAACGCAGTGTCGGCGAAGTCTCCGGAACGGAGACACGGGGCCAGAGGTTGAGCTGATGCGCAGCGTATCGGACCGCAAACGGCCACAGAAAGTGGGGGGCAGCCGCATGGATCAAGGAGGTACGAGCGACCTCCATGACCAAACCAATGCGGCGCTCAGCAACCCCATTCTGCTGTGGAGAGGCCGGAAGCGTGAACGACTGGCGGATGCCGTGCTCCGCACAGTAGGCTGCCAAGAGGTCAGAGGAGAACTCACCACCTCTGTCAGAGTGCAGACGCAGGACAGGAAAGTCCGAGTGGAACCGCTCACTGAGCTGGAGACGAGAAGCGCGGATCCAAGGGATCAAAACATCAGGGACCTCACCCTTGGTGCGCAAGGGGAAGACCGTGGTGTAGCGCGAGTAGTCGTCAACAACGATCAGGAAGTACCTCTCCTGACCCTGTCCACGGACGCGGGCTGGGCCCCACACGTCCATGTGGAGCGTCTGCAAGGGAGCAGTCGTCGGGGGAAACGAGGAGGAGTGAGGAGCGGCGCGCTGCCGCCCCTCGACACAGGGAAGGCAGGGAGGAGCAGGCAAGGGTGGGAGTGGAGGGAGAACCCTGGGAAGACCAGAGACAAGGTACCGGTTGTGCATGGCACGAAGGCGCTGCACTGACGGGTGACCAAGACGGTGGTGCCAGAGGACAGTCTCGTGTGCCAGAGAGCGACACGAGCAGGGGGCAGACAGCTGACCTGACGCAGACGCAGACGCAGCTACCTGTGGGGACTCAGTGGTCAGTGTGTACAGGTCCGACCCCGGCTGCCGAGTGAAGGTAGCCAGGTGGCGGCCCGTCCGAGCGCACGTGCAGTGTGTCACACGCTCGTAGGCAGGGGTAAACTGGTGGACACCCCCGTCCTGGAGCGCACTACCCGCCACCAAGTTCGTAGAGAACGAGGGGAGGTAGAGACCCGACAGAGTGCCCGACGGGACCGCAGGACAAGGGAGAACAGTAGAGGAGGTCGCAATGACCGGACCCCCAGAGGGGTCAGCGAGGGAGACTGCAACCGGCCGAGCAAGCTGCTCAAGGGCAGTGCGGTCACGAAAGAAACAGCGGGAAGCGCCTGAGTCCAGTGTGAAGGTGTGCAGTGCCTCAGTAGACGCAGTACCAGAGGGCGCAGACTCACGAGTACCTAGAGCAGCAGCCTCACCAGCACCTGGGGCAACAGACACACGAGCACCTAGTGCAGCAGCCTCACCAGTACCTAGAGCAGCAGACTGGATACCGGGGTCAGGCGGCACACACAGGTGACAGGCACTCTCAGCACTAGTAGGAAATGCATACATGGCAGTGAGGATAGCATCATAGTCAAGAGCATAGATATCTACCCTCTGCCTAAGCAGCTCCACCCAGTCGGGGAGCTCAGCCGCGTCGCCAAACTCTGTACGCCAGGCGTCGCTCAGACGGGCGAAGCAGCGGGACTCTGTGTGACCAAACGTCCCGCAAGGCTGACCAGTCCGAGCACCAGTGCGAATGACGTACGGGCAGCGAGCAGTACCCCGTGACCCTCCACGCTGAGCGTACCACTCACGAAGCTGCTGGGGCGTGAGGGACTCACTCGGACGTCGCGGGAGCTGCATCTGGCCACCACCAGGAGCAGCAATAGCAGTAGTAGCAGCAGTAGTAGTAGCAGCAGCGCGGCCACCCCTACAACCCCAACCAGCATACCACTCACGAAGCTGTTGGGGCGTGAGGGACTCACGCGGACGGCGCTGGAGCTGCATCTGGCCACGCCAGGAGCAGCAGTAGAAGTAGAAAGAGCAGTAGCAGCAGGAGCAGCAGTAACAGCAATACGGGCAGGGCAGTGCTCACCAGTGGCGAGAAGGGCAGGCGTACGACGGTGGTAACGGCGAGGCAGCTACCACTGCAGGGCGAGGGCTCCGCGGCAGCTGCAGGGGCGGCTGCTCCAGGGGCCAGGGGCGGTTGCAGAGGTCCAGGGGCGACTGCTGCAGGGGCAGCTGCTGCAGGGGCGGCTGCTGCAGGGGCGGCTGCTCCAGGGGCGGCTGCTCCAGGGGCCAGGGGCAGCTGCTCCCTTTTTTTTTTTTTTTTTTTTAAATAATTAATTATTTATTTTAGGGTTTGGTAGAGCGCACTCGGCGCTGCAGAGGCGGCTCGCGGGCTGCAGGGTGGCTCGGGCAGCAGCGAGGGGGGGGGGGGGGGCGGCGCGCGGCTCCTCAGGGCGGCGCGCGGCTCCCCAGGGCGCCGCGACGGGGCAGCGGGGGGGGAGGGGGGGGGGCCGCGCGCGGCTCCCCAGGGCGTCGCGACGGGGCAGCGGGGGGGGTCGCGCGTGGCTCCCTAGGGCGTCGCGACGGGTCAGCGGGGGCCGAGCGCGGCTCCCCAGGACGTCGCGACAGGGCAGCGGGGGCCGAGCGCGGCTCCCCAGGGCGTCGCGACGGGGCAGCGGGGGCCGAGCGCGGCTCCCCAGGGCGACGCGACGGGACAGCGGGGGTCGCGCGCGGCTCCCCAGGGCAGCGCGACGCGGCAGAGGCAGCGCCCACGGGCGACACGCGGCTCGGCAGGGCAGCGCGCTGGCTGCAGGGGCGGCTCTCGGGCCTGACGGGCCTGCAGGGGCGGCTCGAGGGCCGTACTAGCTTGCAGGAGGCAGCGCGAGGGCTGCAGGACGGCACACGGGCAGACCGAAGGGCGGGTCGCACGGGGGCGCACGAGGGCGCACGTAAGGTAGGGCGCACGAGGGCGCACGAGGGCGCACGAGGGCGCACGGGTATAGAAAGGCGCACGAGGGCGCACGTAAGGTAGGACGCACGAGGGCGCGTCTAGCGGAATAGTGGGCCCGTAGGAGAAAGCGGTCCTAGGTAGCAACCTAGGCTCGTGATACCATGTTAGATGTAGAACTGAACGAGAATGTGTGAAACTAGGCAGCAGGGTGATACAAGTAGGAAACCCTAGCAATGTTGTACCCCCTAAGGCTAAACCCACTATAGCCTACACAATATGAACATGTATAATGTTTGACAACCTTGGTGAGCTGCGCCACTACCTTGGCCGCAGATCACCAGGGACAGAGCTGCTCGCACCATTACACTCTCACAGTCACACATGGTGCAGCAGGTCCTTCAGCGGTTCGAGCTTCAGCACTCCACAGTACAGCGCACACCTCTTGCTGTTGACCACAGACTCACTGGACCCTTTCCTGACAAGCCGTTTGAGTCCAGTGGTCCCTACGCAGAGCTAGTGGGCTGCCTCATGTACCTGATCACTTGTACTCGCCCGGACCTCGCCTTCCCTCTCAGCGTCCTTACTCGCTTTGTTGCGCCAGGGAGGCACCGTCCTGTTCACTGGACGACAGCTGTGAGGGTGGCGAAGTACCTAGCGACGACATCAGGCGTGGGCTAGTTCTTGGAGGGCAGCAGCCTGTCGTACTTACTGGTCACTGTGACTCTTCTTACGCTGACGACGCTGAGACTCACAGGTCTACTCAGGGGTACTGATTCAGCTTGGGTTCTGGAGATGTTTCGTGGCGGTCCACGCGCTCCTCTTCGGTCTCGACCTCTACAGCTGAGGCTGAGATCTACGCTGGTGCCATGGCGGCACAGGAGCTGCGTTGGTTGACGTTTTTGCTCGCTGACCTTGGTGAGCGGCCGAGCTCTGCACCGACCTTGTTTGACAACAAGGCGTCGATTCTCCTCTGTCGTGAGCCACGACTGGAGAGCAGAGTGAAGCACATTCACGTCAGGTACTTCCTTCTTCGAGAGTTGCAGAGGCGTGGACAGGCTCGCTTCGAGTTTGTGGAGTCCGAGGCCAACACTGCAGACATCTTCACCAAGGCGCTTCCGCCTTGTGACCACCAGAGGTGTTGTGAGCAGTTAGGCCTTGTTGACACAGGTTCTAGTCGTGTATAGGCTTGAGTTTACTGTTTGCTTTGCTTGTACTCTTGCTATACACACTTGTGAACTCTTGGACTGGTCTTGTGGCCACTGTTGCTTGTGCTCAGAATGTGTGGTGACGTTGTGATCCACCCTGAGCTTTGTATGTTTGTGACTGGTCTTGTGACCGTACACTTTTGGTTTTGCTAGACACCCCTCACTTAGGCTATGGGGGTGTGTCAAATGTTGTAGCCTTAGTGAGGTTTGTCTTAGGGGGTACAGATGTTAGGGTTTGTTATATGTACCCCAACCCATATCAATGAACCAGCACTTTCATTCTTAACATGTAGTTATTGAGTAATGTATCGTACTCGCCCGTATACAGCACCCTTACGATGTGGTATGTGTTTCATGGCATTTGCCAGGAAAGTCGAAAGGAGGAGGAGGTGGGGAAGGGGGGACAAGTTTTGTAGGCTGGAAACAAGACAGACACAGGGCTGACGTTTCACATTTGGGTACACTGATGGTGCAAAAAAAAAAAAAAAAATTACTCTGAGGGCACTTCGGCCAGATTTTGGCCACTCTGATGGCTCAGTCTCCAGGAAACCCTTTCCCTGTGGTCACAGGGTTGGCGAACTATGATCAGAGTGCTGTTTCTATCATTTTTTATTTATTACACAAGCACTGTCAACAATGCCCGGCCGGGTTTCGGGTTCACATAAGACAGCACCAAGAATCCTACTCTGTCGGCTGATCTATGTCATACATCTCCTCCCCCTCCTCGCCATCCGAGAGGAACGGGTTAACATCTTCCTCTGAGTAATCTCGGGGCGGTGACTGCTCTATCTCCTGATCCATCTCCAGGTTGTCGTCACGATCATCGTCTGACTCCGCGAGCTCCTCCTCGCTCGCCGGCTCCCTGGGTTCCTCCTCTTCCTCCTCCGGTTCCTTCTCCTTTCGCTTGCGATCGTCAGATGGGAACAGAACGCTCTGCGCAGGGCGCCTCTTCTTGAGGCTCTTCCAGGTGTCGAGCACCCCAGGCCAGTCCATCTCGTACTGCAGCAGCGAGATCTGCATCAGCTCCGCGAGCCGCGCGTTGCAGAGAGACCCACGGATCCACGACTTGATCACGTTCTGACGCAAGAACCCCCGCTCGCACTCCACAGTGGAGAGTGGCAGGACTGCCAACGCCTGCCACATCAGCAACAGGTTGGGCCAGCGCCTGCACAAAACAAGGAGCATCAGTTTTCCCGAAGCGTTAGATTTGAGACATGCATGTGGCACACGCAGACTAGGTGGACTTACCTCTTGGCGTCGCCGCTCCCCATGAAGTTCGCGAGTCCTTGCGCGAATGACTCGTCCTCGTGGTGAGACTCCATGATTGGGCACCAGGTTGCCAGCTCCTGCGACGCTTTCTTGTGATCAAACCCCGGCAGCTTGTTCTTGAACAGAGCGGCGCAGCCAGTCAGCCAGTCCTGGCACTTGCGGTCTCGTGCGTGCTTGCTCTTGGGCCACTGAGACGCGCGAAACAGCTTCGTTGGACCCATCCCCCGCAGGTCGTCCAGGCGAAACAGGAGACGATCGACGACGTCCGTCGCGAACTTACGACACAGCTTCACGCACGCCTTGTAGCCGCTCTTGTACGAGTGGTTCACAGGGCGGCCCTCCGAATCCGAGCCACGCACTCGGACCGTCTGACCCGACTTCTTGCCATACAGCGCCAGGAATTTCGGCAGCCATCCGTTGCCGGAACCACCGAAGTCCGCCTTCTTGTCCAGGTACCTGTGCTCGAGGTCGCCAGTGATGGACTCCACGGTCTTTGACACCTCAGTAACGTCGACCTGTCCACAACAACTAGTGAATTAGGACACGATGAAACAACAAACATAGCCACCCACACAACGCTAACTCACCTGCCGCTTCTGAAACGAATGGTTGAGATCATTCAGGTCGCCGAGGATGTCAGCGAGGAAGAAGAGGCAGAACTGAAACTTGTACGATGTCACCATCTCGTACAAGTTGTGCTCCTTCTCGTGGAAGAGCACAATCGCCGCGCCCAGCACCTTGCACAGACGCTTTACCGCGTCGCCCCGGGACAGCCAGCGCACGCTGTGTATGCCCTGGACCTCGAGGTTTGTGTTGTATATGACGCGCTGAAGGTACTTGAAGCGCGTCCTTCACCGCCAATGCCTCCCTGTACATCCAACTAGCCAATGATTAGTATCCGTCGGGGTCTTCGTGAGGCGCGGTACATAAAGCAAGATGAAGGTGCGGTAAAAGATTATATCACCTGTGGGCGATGCAGTGTGTTGACACGAGATGCGGCACATGCTCCCGCAGTCTTGTGACGAGGCCGTTGTCGCATCCAATCATTACAGACGCACCGTCAGTGCTGATGCCCACCACTCGGTTGATGTCAATGTTGGCGGTGTGCAGGTGGTTGAGGAGCACCGACAAGAGAGAAGCTGCATCACACCGCTCGACAGTAAGAAGGGTGAGATACTCAGTAACGACTCGACGATTGCGCAAGAACGTGATGTACACAATCATGTGCTTCCCGCGGGTCCGGTCGGTGCTCTCGTCTGTGCTCAAGCCGAGGAAGGGCGACGAGGCGATGTGCTCCATCTGCGTCTGAGTCAACCAGGTGCTCAGGCAGTGCACCATCTGTTGGAAACCGTATCTGCAATGGTTACGAAGAAACGAGACGTTAGCCTTGAAAGACAGTAACCAAACGTTACCTAAATTAGAAACCATACAAACGCACCTCGTGAGGTACACCCCGTAGGCCTGCTTCGGTATGTCGGGGGTGTCCTGTTCAGCGAGATGCCTCATGAGCTTCGGGAACATGCTGATGGGCGCGTCCTCCTGGCAGAGAAACTGCACCGACCTCATCAGCCGAATCGCCCGCCTACCCTCAAGGTCCGCGTTGATGAAACGATCAATTTTCGTCTGGCCGTTCGAAATCGCCTCCGCAATCTCTGCCTGACGCTGCATCGCCTCCTTGTGGACCGTCGTGTGCTCGTGGATGCGCATCGTCTGCGTCTGCAGGTCTTGCCCGCCGTCGCCTGGACCTGAGTACTTGGTTGTCTCCTTGCCGAACGAGAGACACAGGCTGCACTTCACACTGGGACCACCGTCTTTAGCGCGAACCAAAAGCAGCCACGGGAATTTGGGCAACCACTGGGTTTTATACTTAACACTCGCCTCTATGTACTTCTGCTCCATTACCTCAGCCTTGGACAGGACGGGAGAGTTGGTGTCCGCACGTACAGGTATCTCCTCTGGTTCCTCTGGTTCGGGCTCGGAGTCTTCTGGAGCGCTTGGTGGTGCCACGCGCACACCGCCGAAGGTCAACGTGCTCTGCTGAAACTTCCCGCGGAGTACGACAGTGCGCGCCTTCTTAGCTGTGCGACCCTCGGACGCGGGAGCGGCATCGTTGCAGCCGCTGCTACCAACAGAAGAGGGAGGCGCTTTACTGGACGACGGGATGGCGGGAGGGAGAGTGAACGGCGCTGGTGGTGGCGCGGGATTGGGAGGAGGTTGCGGCCCCTTGCTAGACGACGCGATGGCAGGAGGGAGAGTGAACGGCGCTGGAGCAGGCGCGGGATTGGGGGCCGGTTGCGGATTCTTGCTGGACGACGGTAACTCCTCGGTATTAACAACAGCAGCGGTAACTAAAGGTTCTGGAGTGACTGGAGCTACGCTTGATCGAAGGAAGTCTAGGCCGCTAACCCTACGATCGGGAGGCTTTTCCGGGACGGCCTCAGGCGAGTCCTCCGCGGGAGATAAGGACGCCATGGCGAGAGAGAACGATGAATCAAGAAGCTGAAAGCACGAGAATGAAAGCAACATGTGAAACTGGGGGAGGCCCTTCAGCCTGGAAAGAACCAGCTGCAGCAGACGGAACGAAAGCCGCGTCGCCACGACAATGGCTCACGGAGTGGGGTGGGGTTTGATGAATGAATCGGGCCTTGAAGACGGGGCCAAATTCATCTGCCACAATGCCACCACACATAGCTGGTGAGCCATGCCACCAATCGCGATCGACCCATCACATTAAGTGAGGGTGGCGCGGTTCGCGTGGCTGCAGAGTCATCATCAAACTTGGCATACTGGCCGCAGCACGCCGCACCTGGCTGCCTTGCTGTGCACAGCGCACCAACAGATTTTGTCAACATTACATGGTTTCGAGGCCACGCGAACAAGAAGACAACCACGGGGGGTGGTGAAATGATTACGCGCGGAACATTTTTACAAGGGGGGGGGGGGGGGGGGGGGGGGGGGGGGGGGGGGTACTTTCGGACATTTCGGGGAAGCTTCCTCTCAATACACCGGCATACAGGGACCACATACTGTATACTCTGTAGAGCCAGAGTCTAGAAACGACTAAGTCTGAGAACTATTACACTATATCAGGGGCCTACAAACAATAACACTGAGGCCCTCAGGGATGAGATATTGTTTACTCTGCAAATCCATTTTCCACAACCTCAATGCTCTGATTGGTCAGACTAATCAGACTATTTAGTCTGATAGCGTCAGCCCTGGACAGACATCCAGTGCTGAAGGATTCACTGTAATAGAAATGGCCAAAGTAAAATGATAATTCTGACGCTGAGATATCGACCTACGGTACTGTAATTTATCTAGGTACCTCAGGGCATTATCCATTCGCCGGATGGACCTAAATGCATCCACCACCCAGTCCATTGCTATTACCGTTATTTTGTTTAGTTAGCCTTACCAGAACCAGTGTTACATCTAAAGGGGAGTAAAGGAAGCGGTGTATGTTGCGTTTAGTGTCTCCTCCGCAGAGCAGTGCGCAAGTGTCAGATAGACGTCATCGGCATCTTTAGGTCTGGAAATTTCCCAATTCGGGATTATTAGGTCGAACTTGTTGCGCCATGGATCATCAAGCTTCTAGCATCGTATAGTAGGTTGCCCGGTAGCCACGCCCAGATCCACTCTCGCAATCGCAGACGCGTTTCCGCGGGCCCCGCGCTGCGAAGCTCTAATCGTGCATCCTGCCAGGCTCCACGTGTCACGTTCGCGTCATCAAAGTCATCATGATGACTGCGGCCAGTCTCCCCGCGTATCCCTGTCCATCCCTCCCGCGCCTCCTCTCCCTCCTCCCCACCCTCGTCGTCCTCCTCCTCGCCCTCTCCCTCCCCGCGGCGCGCGGCGAGATCTCTGACGCGCTGCTGGAGGCGGACAAGCGCGCGATCGTGCTGTTCGACACGTTCGGGTTCGAATCCAACGGTCACGTTGACATGAACGTGTCGTCTGTCGAGGTGCTTGTGCCGGAGAACGCGGCGGCGGCCGACAAGACGTTGATGGGATTTTTTTTAACGACGGCGGAGGACGAGTTAGAGCTTCAGAACGACTTCCAGGCGGGACACTGCGTGCTCGCCAACGCGCACGTGCACCGCCTCTTCACGCTGCAGGTGCGCGCCGTGCTCCGCGCGCCGTGCAGGTGCGTGCGCTGCGCCGCTTCGTGTAGGTGCCGCGCATCCGACAGGGATTTGCCATGTGACGAAAATTTGCCATGCGACAGAAATTTGCCATGCGACAGCGGATTGCCATGCGACAGCGGGCTGCCATGCGACAGGGAGTTGCTATTCAACAGACAATTTTTATGCGACAGAGGATGTCCTTGGGACTGATCGAACCAATGGGGTGGGTAGGCGTGACGATCCCCCAGCGGCCCGTCCTTTCTTGACGGGTGATGATACTCTTATGGGATCCGTGGTGCTTCCCCTCACCATGGAATGGGAGGTGTTATAGATTCAGCACACAAGGCATGTGAGATTCCGCTACCGCCTCGCCTCCGTGTTTCCTTGCCCATTCCATGCTCTTTTAATTACTATACTTTCGTCCTTCGTTCCCCCCTTTCCCTTCACCTCGTTCCTCTCGTCTAAGCCACCCTCACACTCCTATCCCCCCCCTCCTCTACCCGCTCTCCCTGGCTCCACCCCTCCCTGGCACACATCTCCAGGACGTGGTATCACAGCAGCAGGGTCCAGACAAGCCCTTCACCTTGCGCTACACAGTGCCCGACGCCAAGGAGTACTCTCTCTTCTTTGCCAACTGCCAGCCGCACGCGCGCGTCTCCCTCAACTGCTCCTTCGCCCTCTACAACGTCGCTCCCAGCGGCCGCATCGACTACCTCCCGGGCGGCAAAACCCAGCTGCCCATGCTCTACAGCGCCTTCTACCTCGCGTACATGGTGGCCGGCATCGTTTGGATTTATCTGTGCCACAAGCACTGGGCGAGAACCCACCGGATTCACATTCTGATGGGCGTGCTGGTGCTGCTGAAAGCGTTCACTGTGCTGTCACAGGCGGGGGAGTATGCGTATATCCGCGCCACGGGGGACCCGCAAGGGTGGAACATTGCTTTCTACGTGTTCAGCTTCTTCCGAGGAATCATGCTGTTCACGGTGATAGTGTTGATTGGCACGGGGTGGTCCGTGGTGAAGCCGTACCTGCAGGACAAGGAGAAGAAGGTCATCCTCATTGTCATTCCGCTGCAGGTGAGGGAGGTGGGAGGAGGGGGAACGGGGGGTGTGAGGAACTTAGGGGAAGGTGTGCCGAGCGAGAGTGTTTGATTTTGAACCCATGCTAACGTTGCTTGTCAAGAAGGTCCTTTGCCATATTATTTCCGTTGTGAAATTCGTTTTGCAACAGTAGGGAGCTAGCGTGCTTATGCTGCCCCCATTCGGTTTGTATTTCCACTCTGATTCACCTATTAACCTCCTGCACTGTTCCTGCTAAGGTCTTTGCGAACATCGCAACAATCATCCTGGACGAGAGCGGGCCGTCGTCGCAGTCATGGTTCACGTGGCGTGACATCTTCCACCTGCTCGACATCCTCTGCTGCTGCGCCGTCTTCTTCCCCATCATCTGGTCCATCAAGCACCTCCGGGAGGTTGCGCATTCCGACGGCAAGGCAGCACGCATCGTTGCCAAGCTACAGCTCTTCCGGCACTTTTATGTGCTCGTGGTGTGTTACATATACTTCACGCGCATCGTGGTGTACGTTTTGCGGTCCACCATGCCGTATCAGTACGCATGGACAGCGGATTTGGCGGGAGAATTGGTAACGCTGGTGTTTTATTGCGTTACGGGTTACCAGTTCCGGCCAATGGAAGAGAACCCGTTTCTCGCCGTGCATGATGATGACACGGGAGGGTCGGATGGGATAGAGATGGATAAGGGCGCAAGCAAGCCGCTCAAGGCAGGTGACGACGAGGACGATGAGTTTGACCTGTGAGCCACGAAATGGCATATTTCTTGCTATAACTCGCGCTGGTTGGTTGGGCCGTGCATTGCATGTTCTTTGAATTTACGTAATCAAATCTTAAAACGTGGTGTACTGTTACGAGTGCAATTGAGTGAACGAACGAGAATTGCACTATCGAAGCAAGCGTACAATGAGCGAAGGCATGAGCGAAGAATATATAGCGAAACTACAGTGGTAACGGTAATGGACTGTGGTTGTCGCGCGACGGGCCTGGGACTGAGGTTGGGAAAAGTGTCGAAGCGGAGGCCCGGAGCGCGGGTTACCCGCCGAGCCGTGAGGTCGGGGTGCGACGTGCGAAGGTGGCGGGCGGATTGTCGATGCGAGGATTGCGAGTGGTAACGGTGCTGACTGTGGTGCTACAGTGATGTACGCGTTGAGCAGGGACGCGAAGTAAGGAAAAAGAGATTTTCCTTACACTACCCCCCCCCCCCTTAAGGAGGTCCTCCTTACGAAAGTGCGTGTACATCCCTGAAATTCCGGCTGCGCAGATACTCGGTGAGGACGGGGTGGTTTTCGATTCTGTCCAGGGGAACCCAACTGTCTTCGGTGGGTGTACGGTCCTTCCAGCGGAGTAAGAACTCGATCCTTCGGGCTCCTCGAGGGTCGCGAACTCTGTGACTCAGGATTTTCTCGGGGGTGATGATTGGTTCAGTCGGTGGTCTTGTCATGCTGGCTGGGCGATTGCGTGGCAGTTGGCTCGTGGACGGGACGTAAGGGCGAAGCAGGCTGACGTGGAACGAGGGGCTGACGTACCAGTCAGCAGGGAGGAGGAGGTGGGCGGTGACAGGTGTAAGCATGTGGCTTATGCGAAATGGCCCGCAGTATCGGGGGCGGAGTTTCGGGGTGATGGGCAGTCGGAGATTTTGGGTGTCGAGCAAAACTAAGTCGTCGGGCTGGTAAGTGACAGGTCTGCGGTGGCGGTCCGCGTTGCGTTTAGCGATGATGTTAGCTTTTTTAATTGCGTCTGCTCCCCTGGTTCGTGCTGCTTGCAAAATTTCGGCGAACTGTTGCGCGCGTGGAACCGGGTTGTCGGGATTCGGGGTCATGGGTACTGTTGGGTCTTGTCCGTAATTCAGGTAAAACGGTGACTGTTGGGTCGTGGCGGATGGGGCGTTGTTGTATGCGAATTCGATGAGTGGCAGTTGCTGTTCCCACGTGTTTGGGTCGTCGCACGTGGCCCGGATGAGCTGTTCCATGGTCTGATTTGTCCGTTCTGTCTGTCCGTCTGTTTCGGGGTGGTACGATGAACTAAACTGTAGTCGCGTGCCGAACTGCTGCCATAGGTTCCGCCAGAAGTTGCTGGTGAATTTCGTGTCTCTGTCGCTAATGATTGATGCTGGTATCCCGTGCAGTCGAACGACGGTAGAGATGAAGAGGCGGGCTGTTTCTTCGGCTGTGATTGATTTTTTGCAGGCTGCGAAGTGTGCCATTTTCGTCAGTCGATCGACGACGACCAGGATCGCGTCATTTCCACTCGCCCCGGCCGATAACCCCGTGACGAAGTCCATCGTCACCTGCTGCCAAGCACGCTCTGGAGGTGGGATTGGCTGCAACTGTCCCGCCGGCCGCTTCCGTGTTGACTTCATGATCTGGCAAGTGGGACACGATGCCACGTGTCGCTGCACGTCGGTCAACATTTCGGGCCAGTAATAATACCGATGCAGCTGCTGCCGTGTTTTCTCTACCCCGAAATGTCCCGAGGTAACCCCGTCGTGTGCCTCCTGTAATAGTAATTCCCGTAGCAGTGTGTACCCTGGTACCCGGATGCGGTCGGTCCCGGCTTTTACGTAATAGACTCCCTTAGCTGCTGCGAACTGCTGCGAATTTCCTCCTGTGAAGAATGGGTCCGTTTGATATCCGTGGGTAAATAGTCCTGTCAGTAGCGGGCTGGTCTGGGCGAGTAGTATCGCGTGGATCTGGGCAGTGGGGCGGGTCAGTGCGTCGGCGATGTTCGAGGCTCCTTTTTTATAGGTGACTGTGTAGTGGAAGTTTGACTCGAGGAAATCGAGCCACCGAATCTGTCGTGGGTTGAGGTGGGGCTGTGCGCGGAGGTACTGTAGTGATCGGTGGTCTGTCCGTACTGTCACGTCGGCGCCGGTCAAGTAGCAGCGCCACACTTTGAACGCATGCACGATCGCGAGCATTTCACGGTCGTGTATCGGGTAATTTCGCTCGGGCGGATGCAGTTTTCGTGACTCGTATGCGATGGGCTGTAGGTCGTTGCCGAAGTCCTGTAGCAGTACGGCTCCAATGGCGATGTCGCTTGCGTCTGTAACAACCTCGAAGGGGCGGTGTGGGTCGGCGATGCGCAGGACGGGCGGTGAACAGAGAACATTTTTCAGGGCAGAGAAGGCAGCATGCTCTTTCTCCCCCCACGTAAAAACGACCCCCTTTCACAGTAAATCCGTCAGCGGGGCAGTCAACTGTGCCATGTCGGGGACGAACCGACGAACATAATTAACGAACCCTAAAAAACTCTGCAGTTCCGTGATGTTCGTCGGGGGACGCCACGCTTTTACCATATCCAGCTTCTTTGGGTCGATTTCAACTCTAGCCTCCGAAATAACGTGCCCAAAAAATTCTAGTCTGTCCCGAAAAATCTCGCACTTAGAGCCCTTGGTTAGTAATCGATGTTCCTCTAAAACTTTAAATACTGCTTCGAGATCCGCTAAATGCTGCTGGTTGTCGCGGCTGTAGACGAGGATGTCGTCGAGGTAAACTATCACGCATTTATCTAAGAGTGGCCTAAACGCCTCGTTCATGGTCATCTGAAATGTTGCGGGCGCGTTGGTCAGCCCGAAAGGCATCACCGTGTACTCAAACGACCCGTACCTAGTCCTAAATGCTGTATTGGCGCAGTCCGATGGTTCGACCCGAATCTGATGGTAACCCCCCCGTAAGTCTATTTTCGAAAACACCCGTGCTGTTCGCAGTTGGTCGATCAGTTCGTCGGCGCGGGGAATGGGGTACCGCGACTTGACTGTTACCCTGTTGAGCGCTCGGTAATCGATGCACATGCGAAACCCTCCGTCTTTTTTTTCGGTGTGAACAGTATCGGTGCGGCGAACGGTAACGAACTTGGTCGAATAAACTGCTTCTCTAACAAATAATCTAACTGCTTCCTCAGTTCGTCGAACTCGGGCTGTGTCAGTCTGAACTGGCGCTGTACAGTTGGCTGTGCCCCTGGTTCTAACTCGATCCTATGATCATGCGCCCGCTGAGGTGGCAGCCCTTCCGGTAAGTCGTCTGGAAAAATCCCCGGGTACCGTTTCAACAGTTCCTGTAGTTCGGGCGGTACTGCTGCCAACATTTTCTGAAAATCGCTCGGCTGCTCCGCTTCTCCTACTAATGCTATATCTACAGCGTACACGTCAGCTCCAGCGGCGACAACCCGTTTCATCGTGATGGCATTGACGTGGACCGTTGAAGACTCGGGCGACTGCCAGCGAGGTAGCATGACCCAGTTACCGCTACTTCGCACAGTGCAGCTACCCGTCGTCCAGTCGATTCGTGGGTTGTACCGTCGTAGCCAATCACGTCCCAGTAAAACATCATGTCCATCCAATGTCGTCGCGAGCATTTCCTGTGTAAACCCGAAGTTTCCCCTGCAGCGAACTTTTACTCTCTCCACCTTCTCCCGTATGGCCAGCGGCGTGCCGTCAACTAAGCGTGCGTCGATCTCAGGTAAGCAGCGACTAAGTGTTAGTTGTAATTTTCGCGCAGTTGCGGTATTAACTAAACTGTGGCTTGCTCCTCCGTCAATAAAAATCTTCACTGCTGCTCCCTGTATTTTCCCGTGGATCAGTACTGGGCAATCCGTCTTGTACCCTCCTTATTCATCCGAGCCCGATCGATGGCGTGAATCGGTACTGTGACTCGGTGAGGGTCGGTGCGGTTGGGCGAGCAGGCAGTCTCGTCAGTAGTTGGCCCAACTTCTACTGACTGCTGGCGTTTCCCTGCCTCTGAGACTCCCTCCCCTGCTCTGCTCCGCGGCGCCTTAGCTCCTCTGGGCATTCGCTCTTGCGATGGCCCGGCCTGTTGCAAGCAAAGCAGCGCCCCTTAAACGGTGCGGCAGCCGCATTCGTTGCAACAGCGTTTACAGTGGCGTGCTTGATCGGTCCCCGAGGACGATGTCCGTAGTAGGACCCCGGTCTCGGTCGGCGTAGAATGTCGATTTTCTCGGCGAGCGCGAGAATCTCGTTGAAGTTTGAGAGTCCGCGCAGCATGATTTTGTGCGAGATATCCGGCTTCAGCCCTCCGACGTAACGGTCCACCCGCTCCGCTTCGTGCATGTAGCCGACCTGCTCGCAAAGTGCGAGAAAACCGCTCGTGTAATCTTGAACCGACCCGAGCTGCCGCCAAGTGCGCAATCTCTGACGCGCCGAAATAGAAGCCGCGATCGGCTCGAAGCGCGCCCGAAGCCCTGCCCACCACGCATCCCACGTGCTGTATTGGGCGGTCTCGCAGAATGAACTCCAGGTGACAGCTGGACCCGTGGGCCCTTCCTCTTGCGACGGTGGCTCGTAGGCGCGTGGTGACGTCACGATGACTTGCCACCAGTCCATGGCGGGGCCCCTTAACAGCGAAACGGCATACCGAATCTTCGCTGCGTCCGACTCGACGTAATTCGCGTCGAAGAAGACGTTCATCGTGAAAACCCACGATTGAACCGTCGGACCTCTACGCTGGCTCGGGTCGAAACAGGGCGGGCGTTGCGGCTTGAGTGGCATTGGTGCCATGATGGCCTGTTCGCCACTTGTCGCCGCGAACTCCACGTGCCGACGGGCTTCGCGAGGCTCCCGCGGGCTTGGCGCGCCCCTGTTTCCTCCCATGCCAGGCATTGGTTGGGCGGCGCTATCACTGGCTGCGCCCGAGCGCTGTCCCACGCTGTCGTGTTGTGTTGGTGTCCCGGACGAGATGACGATTGGCTCGTCCGATTGTGCAGGTGCATTTGTTGGTGCGTGTGGTGCTGCTGGAGTGTTCACCGTTGATTGCTGACGCGCGGAGTCACGTTCCACTGTGAGCATCGCAATTTCGAGCGCCGAATCTTCGAGTTGGCGCACCAGACGGTCGAGCTGCTCCTGCGTCAATGTGGCGAGCGTGAATTCGGCCATGGCGGGGGTGTCGGGCGAGCTCAGCGAGAGCCTCAGTCGTGGCCGTGCGTGCTTACGAGAGAGCACTACGAGCGGCGGTGCTGTGTCGCTGAGAGACATCTACCCCCCCCAAAAATTGAGATAGTGGGGAAGCGAAGGTGTGGGTGCGGTCCGAGAAGAGGTCGTAGGCTCTGAATACCAAGTGTTACGAGTGCAATTGAGTGAACGAACGAGAATTGCACTATCGAAGCAAGCGTACAATGAGCGAAGGCATGAGCGAAGAATATATAGCGAAACTACAGTGGTAACGGTAATAGACTGTGGTTGTCGCGCGACGGGCCTGGGACTGAGGTTGGGAAAAGTGTCGAAGCGGAGGCCCGGAGCGCGGGTTACCCGCCGAGCCGTGAGGTCGGGGTGCGACGTGCGAAGGTGCCGGGCGGATTGTCGATGCGAGGATTGCGAGTGGTAACGGTGCTGACTGTGGTGCTACAGTGATGTACGCGTTGAGCAGGGACGCGAAGTAAGGAAAAAGAGATTTTCCTTACATGTACCAACTTGAAAAGGACTTGTAGTTTACAGTGAAAAGGAACGAGATGGTGGAGAGAGTACACTAGCAACATGTCCTCTGCACACGCACACCTGGTCACCGACCAGCCTCGTATAGCGAATTCGCCAGCAGACCAAGGCTTGAGTAGCCTCGGAGTTGCGGTCGTGTTTCATTTCGTTACAGAGCCTCCGATTCAGCTCTTCAACTGTGATTGTTTTGACCCGTCCCCTGAATTTCAATGTGACTTCGCGTCTTCCGAACCGAAGTTTCACGCCATGCCAAAGGTCCGGGTCGCGTCGCGCGTGTCCCTAAATTCAGAAGTACGTCCCTAGCCCACATCGAAACTGGCCCGTGTTTAGGGTGTTGGTTCACAGTCTTTCCTAACCTCGAATTCATATCGTTGACTTCGGTTGAGTAATACAGGTTGTTGCCGCAGGCCGTCCTCACCTCACTCCCTTATTGCCAGCCGCCAAACGGGGAGTATAAGACACGTGAGAGGGAAGAGGTATTTTTCGCATTTACACGTTGGCGAATAGCTGAAATCTTCTTGTTGTGCTTCACAGATCTGACTCTGATTTTGCACCTGCTTTGACCAGAATGCGGTTTCCACAAACGCATCAATTATCAAAGTGATACGTTGAATGATGCGGATTTACGGTAAAACTTACAGAAATCCGAGATTCTCTGGAAAGATGCTTTAGACGACACGAACGGCTTTATTATGAACGACCTCTCCCGGACTTATGCGTGTCAAATCGGGGTTAAGTATGAAGCCCTGCGAGACGAATCGCGACTTGCATCTTTCTCACGCGCCGTTAATGCTGCTCCGTGGAACAAGCAAGGCGGCGTCGTCATGGGGCCATCTGCACCCCATCTACGTGCTCTTCTTCCTTGTTAACGCCTGCACACTCTTCGGTCTCGTGTGGTTCAACACTACCTTCACCACCACCACCAGCAGAAACAGCAGCAGCAGCAGCAGCAGCAGCAGCAGCAGCAGCAGCCCCACCATCCCGACCACCCTATCCGTAACGATTGGCCGCAGGAGGGGCGGGGGGGAGCAGGATGCGGGAGGTGTGGCGGAAGGTGTGGCGGAAGGGGTGGCGGAAGGGGTGGCGGAAGGGGTGGATGGGGGTAAGAGGGGGGCGGAGACGGGGAGCACGGGGAGGAGCGGGGCGGAGAAGGGGGGCGGGTGGGAAGTGGGCGCAGAGGAGAAGTTTCTGTGGTACGCGTCGCACAGCGGATTCAGCAACCAGGTGAGGGGGACCATGCCGCTATGCGCGCAAGTGGAGAGAAGCAGGCGGACTGAGAGTAAGCGGAGTGGGAGTAGATTAATGCTCCCCCCAATGCTCCCCCCAATGCTGCCTCCAATGCTCCCCCCAATGCTCCCCCCAATGCTCCCCCCAATGCCCCCCCCAATGCTCCCCCCCCACCACCACCACCACCACCACCACCACCACCACCACCACCACCACCACCACCACCACCACCACCACCACCACCACCACCACCACCACCACCACCACCACCACCACCACCACCACCACCACCACCACCACCACCACCACCACCACCACCACCACCACCACCACCACCACCACCACCACCACCACCACCACCACCACCACCACCACCACCACCACCACCACCACCACCACCACCACCACCACCACCACCACCACCACCACCACGACCACCACCACCACCACGACCACCACCACCACCACCACCACCACCACCACCACCACCACCACCACCACCACCACCACCACCACCACCACCACCACCACCACCACCACCACCACCACCACCACCACCACCACCACCACCACCACCACCACCACCACCACCACCACCACCACCACCACCACCACCACCACCACCACCACCACCACCACCACCACCACGACCAACTCTCCTCCGCTCTCCTTGCTCCTCCGCGTGCGTGCAGGAATCAGTGCCGTTCTTCTCACGGCCCATAGTGCAGCTGGCACGGGACTACATTCACCAGCACATGCCCCACCCATACGCATGCCTGCACCTGCGCGCCAATGAGGCCTCTTTTGTGAAGAAGCGGAATGTCACGCTCAGGTACCCGTGAGATCCAAAAAGGCTTGTTCCAGTCTGGGGGAAGATCCACGCGACCAGCTGAGAATGCAAGTTCTGGTGTGCCCTTTCTTGCTGTTCCGTGCCCTCTGCGATCCATTTATGCTGGCACCTTGTGATGCGCTAGATCTAGATGTGCTATATTGTTTGAGGTTGATTTTGAAAATTCTCAAAATCAACCTTGTGATGCGCTAGATCTAGATTTGCTATGTGGCATCAGTCAGGGTGCGGTCCCAGCAAGGGAAAAACCCTCTCCTGCCCTCAGTGCCTGTGTCCCCTGCATTCAATATCATCTCTCAGCATCCCTCATACAGTGATATATAAACAATGTCCTCTCTCTGCATCTCTCACAGGGCGAGCACGTCTCTCTACATAAGCAATCTCCTCTCTCTGCCATGCACATCTCCCACAGCAACGCTGAGCAATCACTCCGGGAGATTCTGAAGCAGAGGGACCAGCATGTTACTGTGGGAGCAGCAGCCCCGTCCGCCAACCTGCACCTCTTCCTAATGACAGATGTACACCAGGAAGTGTGGTCTGAGCTGCTGCTGCCGCGCCTGGCGCGCCTGCCTGTGCCAGTGCAGGTGCACACACTCGCGCCGTTCAAGCAGCGCCTACTGGCCCTCTCAATGCGTCTGCGCGGCTACGGCATCGGTATACGGGCGAACCGATTCTTCCAAAAGGTGGGCTATGACATGGGTGCCACGGAGGCCAAACCACAGGTGTGACTGCTGTGTTTCTGCCATCTCGCCCTCTCCTCCTCTTTCCTTCTTCCTCCCACCCTCCTTCCTCCCCTTTAAATAACCTACACGCACAGGAGCGAGCAGCCCTGGTGCTGTGCCCCTACCTCACTATCCAACAGCTCCTCCTCTTTGTCCTGCTGTATCTATCCTCTCTCATGATGGATCTATCCTACCTCTTGTATGCTGATGCACTCACAGGAGGACTCTCTTTGGCGAGTGGAAGAATCAAGCTTGGAGGACCGAGATAAAGACGATGAGGTGGCATTGACGCGGCTAAAGCGCACGGGCGGAGGAAAGTCAGCACACTTGATTCCCGATATAGGCCTGTTTGTAGAGGAGACAGTGTGCTGCCATGCGTCCCTTGGGACTATCTTGACGGAGGGCTCCACTGTTAGCAATACAATTCGAATGCATCAGGAGGCTGGGCGCTGCACTTTGGATGCTTCTCTTCAGTAGAGTTGTGAACATGCTGGCTCGATCATTAGTCAGCAAGGTATGGTGGTGGTGTGTGACTCTTCAACACATTTACAGAAAATGGGTGTCCTGTACATTGGTGTGGTTTGTGGTGCATCTTTACCTTACACAAGCTTGCTTCTATTGAGCTGAACACAGCCTACTGACAATAAATACCGTATGATCATACCCAGGCGGGCACACGTACCGTATGAACAGCACTTGTGAGCGTAACGAGAGACCTGGATCAGGGTGTGCCTGCCTGCTCTCTTGGTCAGCCTAAGGTATGCATGCCCATGCCCATTCCCACTGTACTTCATCACCACAATCCATGCACACCCACTCACACACACACCTGCACCTTCCCCATCCCTCCTCCTGAATCGTTGAAACGCCACCACTGCACCAGCCCCACTGCGCTCCACTTGGCCAGCAGCAGCGGCTTCTCACGATGCACCGCTGAAGCGACTGCGCATAACCCTTGATGAGATGAAACCCTGGTGAAAAATCCCGCAACTCCTTCTGGCAGAATGTGCGGCCTGTGTGTGGCATGGCATGTGAGGACGACCCTATGCACCCAGCAAACGCCCCGCCACGACCACCGCTGCGAGGAGAGGAACGTGGGGAGGGGATGGGCCACGGCTCGACTCCTCCTACACAGCAGGCGCGCGTGTGTCGGCACCATCAGGTCCATCCATGCCCATGCACCACCACTGCGCCACCTCCGCCACCTCCCCACCTTGGCCGCACCAGCAGCAGCGGCAGAAGCTACCCTCACAGCACATGAAGAAGCACACAAGCCGTCACGTCACGACCACTGCTGCGAGGAGAGGAAGGTGAGAACGTCAACCACCTGGCTCATAACTGGGCGGTGAGTGGGGTCCAGGGCCAGGCACCACCGCGCCACCTCCGCCACCTTGGCTGCAGCGGCGGGCGGGGGCGAGGTGGCAGTGAGAGCAGGGTCCATGATCCTGACTATGTCGGCCGGCTGCTGCAGGTATGGCCGCGCATACAGCACCAGGTTGCCTTCCGGGTGCGGCCTGGTGGGCGTGACGGGGGGGAGAGGGGATGGGGCGGGAGGGGTGGGGGAAGTGGAGAGAAGGGTTGGGGACGAGAGTGCAGGGACGAGTGAGGGAGGGGGGGGGTTAGCGGCAAGGGATCAGTGACGGAGCAAGGAGGTAGGGTGCATGAGTGGGAGAGGGGAGGTGAGGTAAGGGGCCAGAAGGAAGGGGCAGGAAGACTCACGAAGTTGGTTGTTTGTCCTAGGTGGCATCGGCTTAGGGCAGTGTCCTCCTGTTGCAGTTCCACAAGTGCCTGACAGCATGCCTTTGCCTTGAAAACTCTCTCTCCGACATTCATCCCCAACTGCCCACTCAATGGTCCCCAGAGGGAACGGCAAGCCCCTAACCTGTGCGTAGTCATACAGTACAGCAACCCCCTCACCTTCCCTTCCACAAGGCACAGCCAACTTGCTGCCCCACTTCTTTCTGCCCTGGCACCCTGCCTGCCCCACTCCCCCCTGCCCCACTAACCCCGCCCCACTCCCCGCTGCCCCACTAACTGCGCCCCACTCCCTGTCTGCAACACTTCGCCCTGCCTGCCCTACTGCCCATGTTCCCCGTCTGCGCAGGCCTCACCGCTTGCCATCGATGGAGGGGCGGCCGGTGAGCAGCTCGAGCAGCAGCACGCCGAAGCTCCACACGTCATTCTTGCTGGTCAGCTGCCCCGTCAACATGTACTCTGGCGCCGCGTACCCCGCTGTGCCTCGCACCTGCTCTCTCACACACGCACGCACACACACACACACACACACACACACACACACACACACACACACACACACGCACGCGCACACACGCACGCACATGCACGCACACACGCACACACACACAAGCACGCATCACGTGGGATTGTGGTGCAGCAGGGGAAGGCAGGTCTTGGTGAGAGGGTGCTGTAATGGGCGAGCTTGTCACTTGCGGGGAGATGGCTATGGCAGGAGCAGGAGCAAGGAGGGGAGACGAGGATGCCACTCTCCCCTCTCCCCTCTCCAGTGCGGCGTATGGAAGACGGAATATATGCGACAAATAGCAGCATCACGAGGCCATGGTACAGAACATGCATGCGAGGCTACCAACGCCACTCAACAATGGTAAGCGTGCTCTGACCAACCGCACCCCACAAGCCCAATGGAGAAAACAACCCTCCCCTCCCACGTGCTGCCAAAAGGCAATGCCTCCCTAGTGCGCTTACCATCTCACTCCATTTCCCCTGCCCCGTCCCTGCCTTGCGCACATACCATGGGACGACTTTTAAGTCGACTCAAAAGTCCCCATTCCCCCCGCCATTCCCCCCTCCAGCCCAGCCTGCCCCCAGCCCAGCCGGCCCTTCCCCACCTGGCACATACCATGGTGGAAACATACACGGAGTCCCCCTCTAAGTCCCCGTTTCCCCCCGTCCCACCCTGCACCCTCCCGACCCGCCCTGCATCCTCCTGCCCTGGCCCGGCCCAGCCTGGCCCGGCCCATCCTGCCCCCCCGCCTGGTTGCACATACCATGGTGGAGACATACTCGGAGTCCCCCTCGGGCCCCTCCCGTGCGAGGCCAAAGTCGGAGAGCTTGGCATGGAAGGACGCTGTTAGCAGCATGTTGGACGTCTTGAGATCGCGGTATATCACCTGGTGGGTGGGAGACGCGGAAGGGGAGAGGGGTGGGCGAGGGAGGGGAGAGGAGGGGAAGAGAAGGGGAAAAGGGGGGGAAGATGAGAGGAAGAAAGGGGGAGAGAAGGGGAAGAGGATTGGAAGGGGGGGGGGAGAAGAGGGAAAGAAGTGGGAGAGAGAGGGGCGAGAGGGAATGAGGGGAAGTGGCAGGAGCAGGCAGCAATGGTGAAAGGAAAGGAGAGGTGCTTGTGTGGCTTGACTCGAAGGTGTGGTAGGATGTGGCAAGTGGCAGGCTCGACGTCTTAGGCCGCAGAGAGTGAAGGGGGGAGACGGCGTGGGAGAGAGGGAAGGAGCGAGCGGGGGAGATTGGGGGGGAAACGGGGAAAGAGGGGGGGTGGGGTTGGGGGTGGAGAGGCAGGGGCGACGGAGGAGAGATGGGCGGAGAGAGAGGAGAGGAGGAGAGCCAAGAAAACGTGTGGAAGGATGACTTCAGATGGGAAAGGGGGAGAGACGACGCAGGATTCGGAGCGAGTAGGGATACGAGAGGAGAGGAGCGGACGGGCAAGAGGAGGAGGGGCAAGTGGCAAGAGAAGGGCGTTGGGTGGCACAAAACGCAGTAAGAAGAAGTCAACTGCGCCTCTCAGTCACGCCAAACCTCTCTCAACTCCATCTTCCCTCGCCCCCTCGCCCCTCGCCCCTTGCCCACGCGTCTATTGACTGTACTTAACCTGCCCATACTGCACCTCTGCTGCACTACTCACATACTTGCCTCTCCACCACCCCCCTCCTCACCCATCCTCCCACTTCCCCCTTAACTCGCCCTACTCCACGCCTCCCCTTCCAGCAATCCACTCCAATCTCTCTCTCTTTCTCCCCCCTCCCTCACCCCCTCCCCACCCACCCCACCACCTACCCTAGGTTCCATCTCCTCGTGCAGGTAAGCCAGCCCCTTGGCAGCGCCCAGCGCCACCTTCAACCGCGTACCCCAATCCAGCACCTTGCCACCCGCCCCTTGCCCCGCCTCCCCTCCAGCCCCTCCACCAGCAGCAGAGGGATTAGCAGAGGAGGAGGAGGAGGGGCGGAAGAGCAGGCGGTCAAGGCTGCCGCGCGGCAGGAGCTCGTAGACGAGCAGGCGGCGGTCACCCTCGGCGCAGCACCCCATGAGGCGCACCAGGTGCGGGTGGCTGGCCGCTGCTAGCAGACTCACCTCAACCATCCACTCCTTGTGGCCCTGGAGGGAGGGTGGGCCGGGGGGAAAGGGAGTTGGGGGCATGGAGTGGGGGATGGTGAGGTGGAGGGAGACCGGGGCTGAGAGGGGGATGGGTGGAGGGAGGAGGGAGGGAATAGATGGCTGCGCAGTGGGTGTGCAGTCTGCTTGTTCTGCTGGAAACTGTGCATTCGGGAAAGGTTAGACCGTGACTGTGAGTTTGAGGGTGCGTGTCAGTAGGTGTGTGACTGTGAATGTGCACACACCTGCTTTGTGTGCAGGTACTTTTGGGTGCGTGAAAGTAGGTATGAGCGAGTGATACAAACTTGTGTGTGTGGGGCGATGGGGGGCACGGCGTGAGTGAATGAGCCAGCGTCTGTGTGTGCGTGTGTGGGAGAGTACGAATGTGTGAGTGTTCATCGTGTGCTCACACGTCTGGGGGGGCATGCAACCATGCTGAGCGCCTATTTCTGTGAGCAAGCCAGACCAGCCCTCCAAGAAACCCACCACCCTTACCTGCATGCCCTGCATGGTTTCTGATCTGATAATTCTCAAGAGCCAACTAGTCCTCACCTGCATGCTCTTGCTATTCAGCTTCTTTACTGCCACCTCCACCCGCCCGCCCGCTCCCTGCTCCCCCGCTTCCCCCCTCTCCTCCCCCTCTCCCTCCCGCCCATCCCCCTCCAGCGCGATTTCGCCGCTGTTACCAGCTTCGCCAGCGGGATTCGCGAGGGACGGCAGAGCCACCTCCCCTCGATACACCCTCCCAAACCCCCCGCTGCCCAGCAAATTCTCCGGCGCGAAATTTTTAGTGGCTGCCCGGAGTTCTGCATACGAAAAGATGTGCAGGCGATGCCGCAGCTGCAGCTCCCTTAAAGCCTCTATATCCGCGTTCTCCAAAGGCCCTCTCTCCCTCCCGCTGCTGCTCCCCACGCCACTCCGCCCTCTCTCCCTCTCCCCTTTCCCCTCCCCTCCCCTCTCCCCTCTCTCCCTCTCCCTGGCCTTTTCTTTTTCTTTTACCGAAGGGCTCTTAGGCGGGTACGCGCTAGGCGTATTGGGTGCAAGGGGCGGTGTAGACGCAGTGGACGAAGAGCTATTACGGGAGAAGTTTCTAGTGAGTATGCCGGGCAGGTTGGATCCGCCGCCCGGGAGCGGCAGCACGGCGGACGACGGCCCTCGCCCCGACGACGACCCCCGCCGCCCCGACGACGATCCCGCGGACAGCCCGTCCCGGCGCAAGCTGCGCCCACTCGCGCTCCCCCCGCCGTCGCGCGACGACGGGCGGGAGGTCCCGCCGGAGGAGGAGGAGACCTGCGCGGAGGGGCCGGGGGAGCTGCGGGAAATGCGCGGGGAGGAGGAGGTGGAGGAGGAGGAGTGGCGGTGGTGGTGGTGGTAGGATGACGAAGGGGTGGTGGATCGGCGGAGCAGCGGGTGCTTTCCGGGTCCCGCCACGTCTGCCGCCGCGGACCCGCTACTGCCCGCGGGAGCAGCGCTGGGGGCGGCGGAAGGCGCGTGCTTGGAGGTGCGGAACATGGGGCTGGCGGGCGCGCTCATGAACCCCCCCAACATTCCCGTGCGCTCCTGCTTCACGTGCTTCGAATGTTTGGAGTGCTTCGACGTTTGCTGCTGCTGCTGCTGCTCAAACTGTACATGTCGTGCAGCGGTGCTGGCGACGCTTATCGGGGGAACAGGCGAACTGTGCGACCGTTCGCAAGCGGCTGGTTGTACCGCCATTACTGCTCGGGCCTCCTCCGGCTCTCTCCCCCCCTCCCCTTCCTGCTGCTGTAGCGTTTGCTCTAGTTGCTGCTGCAACCGCAGCTGTAGCTCCTGCTGCTGTAGCGTTTGCTCTAGTTGCTGCTGCAACCGCAGCTGTAGCTCCTGCTGCTGTAGCTGCTGCCGCTCGTTCTCCTCGCCGCCCTCCGCTTGTCTCAAACCCGCGTCACTCCCTCTCCCCGACCCGTCCCTCGATCCACCCCCCAAAGTGTTCTCCTCCGCGTGCCCCTCGCCGACACGCTGCTCCGCGCTGTTCCCCCCGCACATCCGCCGCTGCTGCTCCCGCTCCAACGACTGAGATGCATCCACCTGCTGCGCTTGCGCTTGCCCTTGCGCCTGCGGCTGCGCCTGCGCTTGCGCCTGTACCTCCTGCTGCTGTTGGCGACGCTCCTTATCCTTGCTCTGCGATCGCGGCACGCCTGGTCGCACACCGTACCCGTCGTGCTCGTCGCCGTCGTCGCACGCGTCGTCCACGAGAACGGGACGCGTGCACCCGTGCCACGAGTGCCCGTGCACGCCGCGGTGCTGGTGCTGGTGGTGCCGCGGCGGGCTGTCGTCCCGAATGACTTGCCCGAACCGAAAACAATTCATACTGCCCGGGCGCGGCCAGTTCGGATCACTAAACCGTCAGGCCTGACCTAGTGTAGTGCGCTAAGGGATAAATCCAGGAACCTGTGAAGTCTAACCGCGGGTGGTGGACGAGATGCGAGTCGCTTAGAAACCACACGGAGAGATCTGGCAGCAACGGATAACATTCGCAGGACCGGTTAAACTAGAAGATCGAGCAGTACGGGAAGGACATGTGCATGAGCGGATCTGGCGGGATTACATGATCTCGAAAGGTCTCCCTAGCATACATGCGAAAAGTCCCGCCAGGCTTTGAAGCCTAATGCGGTTGATCTGACTCGTTACGACGGTTCACGCGAAAGCCTGAAGGATGGTTCAAGTGACTCCAATGATTGCCCGATACAAAGCGACACTGATCGCGAAGTTATGTGCATTCGGTCAATCCCGTGTGGGTGCAAAGAAACCTGTGTTGCCTTGCCAGCTCCTACACTGGCGCACCAAGCAGTCTGTTTGTACTGTGATGGAACACAAGAGTGGAGCAGAGAAAGCACGGACGGAGGACTCGAACCGACCCCCCTGGACAAGTGCACTGGTAACAGTGTTCTTGGCAACTTGGCTTCCACACCTCCAATTCTCCATGTATGCATGCTTGCAGCAGGTCAGCTCATCAGCCTGTCTGTCACGCGACCATGATAAGTGAGGGAGCTTGCCTACCTGTTGCGCAAGCGCTTGCTTCTGTCAGATGTCCTTTCTGTCGGGATGCGTACTCTGTATGACATATTCTGCTACCCAAACAACACGCCAGATTAAGATATGAATACATGTTTCTCACTACATTTCAGTCTCATACTTGCGCAAGAAAATCATAACAACAATTTTGTAGCACTAACAATCAAATCCACCATAATTTGGTCGAAAGTTTACTGTGAGCTTTCCAAAGGAGAATAATATCGTACAATTGTTCCATATCCATATCCATAGTCAAAAGTTAATCTTGCATATTGTACTTAAATGATGAATTGTTTAGGGTTACATATTGTCAAATGTTGTAGCCTGTAGTGAGGTTTGTCTTAGGGGGTACAGATGTTAGGGTTTCTAATATGTACCCCAACCCACATCAATGACACAACACTTTCATTCTTGACATGGTATCACCTAGGTTAGGATCCTGTGGGATCCCGTTCCACTCGTTCACGTCCGTAGCGCCCGAGCCTGTCCCGTACCCTAGTGCCCGTTACGCTCGTACTGTCCCTTAACGCCTATCGCGCCTGCCGTTACGTCGCTCTCGTGCCCTAGCGCCCGCTGCGCCTGCCGTTACGTCGCGCCTTCAGTCCCGTCCCGTCCGTCCGCGTCGCGCTGCCTGTCCACGTCGCGCCGTCCGTCCCGTCCCGTCCGTCCGCGTCGCGCTGCCCGTCCGCGTCGCGCAGTCTGTCCCGTCCCTTCGCGTCGTGTCGCGCTGCCCGTCTGCGTCGCGCAGTCCGTCCCGTCCCGTCGCGTGGCGTCTCGTCGCGCTGCCCGTCCTGTCCCACTGCGTCGCGTCGCGCTACCCCTGCCCGTGGCGCTGCGCCCTCCTAGTCCAGCAGTGTTGCGCCCTACTCTGTGTCCCGTAGCGCCCTACCCTATGTCCCGTAGCGCCCTACTGAGTCACTCTTAGTGATTAGGGTTTCGGCAGCAGCACTTCCTACCTCTTTGCTTTTGCTATGGCGACCCCTAGGGTTCTTCGTTTTGACGCTGACGGTAGACCGCTCGAGTTTCCAGTCTGGCTCCTACACACGCGTCACCTTTTAGAGATTCAGGTCCAGGCGGGCGAGTCCCTCTGGGCGCACGCTACTGGTGACCTTCCTGCGCCCGACGACCCTACGCCTTTAGGCCCTGCCCCTGATGATGCCGCCAAAGACCGCTTTACCCGCCAGCGTGCTGACCTGACGGCGTGGAAGTCGCGTGACGCTGCGGCCTGCATCGCTCTTAGCAGCCTCCTCCTTGAGTCTGAGGAGGCCCACTTCACTCAGGTTCGCACTGCTAGTGAGTTCCTGACTGCGATCAAGGCCCGCCACGCTACTCCCACCACTGTCTCCCTTGGCCGCCTCTTCCTACCGTTCTTGTTCCCTGACCTTGCCTCGTTTGAGCGCTCTGCTGACTTGATTGCTCACCTCCGCTCGCTCGATTCTAGCTACCGCGCTGCTTGCACTGACGCACAGCTTGCACTGCTTCCCCCTCCTATGGCGATTACTATCTACTTCATTGCCACTAGCCTCCCTGACCGCCTTGCCTCGGTTCGTGACACGCTTCTTCTGAAGCACCCTAGTGAGCTCACTATCGAGGTCCTTGAGTTTGCGCTCAAGGACGTCGAGAGCAACCTCCTCTCAGTAGCCTCCGCCTCTGGTGCTGTGCCCCCTCCACTGTTTCACGGGTGCACTGTCCCTCAGCTGCCCACTTTTACTGCCTCGGTAGCCACTGCCACTACTGACGTGACCGCAGCTGCTGTTACGACTACGTCGTGGTCTCGGGGTAGGGGTGGCAGGAGGGGCGGTCAGGGTGCAGGCGGCGGCGGCGGTGGCGGCGTTGGCGGCGGAGGTGGTGGGGGTGGCGTGCCGACCGGTGGCGGCGGGAGCGCAGGGACTGGAGAGGCGTCTCGTGTAGCGGCCAGTGACTCCCCTACTGCAGCTGCTGGAGGTGACACCCGGACTCGTCAACCTCCTCCTGGTCTGCCGGCCGCGGTGGGTGGAGCAGCGGCGTGGTACCTGGCCCAGCGGCAGCAGTAGGTGCAGCAGCAGCAGCCCCTCCCCTTGCAGCAGCCCCTGCAGCAGCAGCGGCAGCAGCAGGTTTCGGGGCTGGCACAGCGTCCGCCCCAGCGAGGTGTTGTTCACCCTTCGTGCACCTATCAGGTTCTGACAGGTGCTCGCCGAGGCCAGCCTTGTGGCCGCACCCACCCTCCTGGTCAGTGCTTTGCTCAGCTCACTGACACGGTTCGCTTGGCCTTCGGCGTTGGCGGCCCTGCCCCTGACTGGTTTCCTCTTGTTCAGATGTACGGCTCCGCTCTTTGGGGCATGTCTGCTTCTGAGTTGCTTGATCTCTTAGGAACTCCTCATGCTACGTATGCTGTTGTTGACTCTAGTGCTTCTGACTCTGTTTACTCGAGTGTTGTTAGCTTAGGTGCTAGTCTTGCTGAGTTGCCTGTTGCTAGTGTAGGCACTTGTGTAGACACTAGTCCAGGCGCTACTTCGGAGGACGCTTCGCTGTCTTTCACCCCGGACTCTGGGGCTTCGCACTGCTTCTTCCGCGACCACACGACACTTACTCCACTTCCTGCGCCAGTCTCTGTGGCCCTGGCTGATCCCACCTCGGGACCAGTCACTGCTCGCTACACTACTACTCTTCCTTGCCCTGCTGTTCCCTCTGGGTCTCTGACTGGCTTCCACGTCCCCTCGTTCTCAAGGAACTTGGTGGGCGTGAGGCCTCTTGTGAGTCAGCATGTGGGTGTGTGGATTGAGCCCTCTGGTGAAACGGCGGTTTGTGTTGACGGTGACACTTACTCGCCTCTTGCCACCTTTACTTCCGAACCGGGCTCTGGTCTCTACACACTTCACACTGGCCCTGGTGAGCAGCAGCAGCAGCAGCAGCAGCAGCAGCAGCAGCAGCGGCAGCACCAGCAGCAACAACAGCAGCAGCAGCAGCAGCAGCGGCAGCAGCGACTCCTGCCCCGGCCCTGGTTACTTCCCCCAGTCTGGTCCCTGCGTCTCACCAGGTTGCTGCGTCCCCCCAGGTAGCTGTGTCTGGTCAGGTTCCCGTGTCCCCGCCAGTTGCTGCGTCGTGCTCCTGCCGGTCGCTTGCACACCCCACCGTTCTGTGGCACCACCGGACGGGGCACCGTCCCTCCCTCGTCTGCGCGCTATGTCTTGTCAGCGTCTTGTCTTAGGCCTCCCGTGTGTCTTGCCGTCGCTGCCGCCTTCGCTTGCACTGCCGTGCGGTCCCTGCGTCGAGGGTCGGCTGCGCGCCAGCCCTCACTCCTCCTCCCTTCGTCCGGCCACCAAGCCTTTTGAGACGCTCCACTTGGACGTCTGGGGCCCCGCCCCTCGCCTTGGCCCTGAGCGCGAGCGTTTCTTTTTTGTGGTCGTTGACGACTACTCCCGCTACACCACAGTGTTCCCCCTGGCGAAGAATTCTGAGGTGACTTCTACGGTGATCAGGTGGTT